AAAGCCTTTTGGTGAATTACAGTAATGGTTTTCGAAGATTAATTATGTACTGTATGTACAGTAAGAGTGATATTGGCAAACTTTCACCTGTAGTAAGTCAGTCTTGCCACTAGGAATGTACTACAACCTTTCAAACATGAAAAAAAAAAACATTTGTTGAATTACAGTAATTGTTTTTTAAGAATAATTATGTACTGTACATACAGTAAGAAATAAATTAGCAAAATTTCACCTGTAGTAAGTCAGCCTGGCCTCTAGGAATGTACTACAGCCTTTGGAACATAAAAAAACCCATTTGGTAAATTACAGCAATTCCTTTCTAAGAATAATTATGTACTGTATGTACATTAAGGGTGATATTGGCAACATTTCAGCTGTAGTAAGTCAGTCTGGCCACTAGCTATGTACTACAGCCTTTGAAACATGAAAAAAACACTTTTGGTGAATTACAGTAATTGTTTTCTAAGAATAATTATGTACTGTACATACAGTAAGAAATAAATTAGCAAAATTTCACCTGTAGTAAGTCAGCCTGGCCTCTAGGAATGTACTACAGCCTTTGGAACATGAAAAATCCCCTTATGGTAAATTACAGTAATGGTTTTCTAAGAATAATTATGTACTGTATGTACAGTAAGTGTGATATTGGCTAAATTTCAGCTGTAGTAAGTCAGTCTTGTAACTACAAATGTGCTACAGTCTTTGGAACATGAAAAAACTTTTTGGTCAATTACAGTAATGGTTTTCGAAAATGAATTATGTACTGTACGTACCATAATAAAGGAATTGGCAAAATGTATCCGGTAGTAAATCAGTCTCGTAACTACAAATGTACTACAGCATTTGAAACATAAAAAAACCCTTATGGTAAATTACAGCAATTGTTTTCTAAGAATAATTATGTACTGTATGTACAGTAAGAAAGAAATTGGCAAAATTTCACCTGTATTAAGTCAGTCTTGTAACTACAAATGTACTACAGCCTTTGGAACATAAAAAACCCCTTATGGTAAATTACAGCAATTGTTTTCTAAGAATAATTATGTACTGTACATACAGTAAGAAATTAGCAAAATTTCACCTGTATTAAGTCAGTCTTGTAACTACAAATGTACTACAGCCTTTGGAACATAAAAAACCCCTTATGGTAAATTACAGTAATTATTTTCTAAGAATAATTATGTACTGTATGTACAGTAAGGGAGATATTGGCAAAATTTCACCTGTAGTAAGTCAGTCTGGCCACTAGGAATGTACACTTTTGGTGAATTACAGTAATTGTTTTTTAAGAATAATTATGTACTGTACATACAGTAAGAAAGAAATTGGCAAAATTTCAACTGTAGTAAATCAGTCTTGTAACTACAAACATACTACAGCCTTTGGAACAGGAAAAAAGCCTTTTGGTGAATTACAGTAATTGTTTTCTAAGGATGATTATGTACTGTATGTACAGTAAGGGAGATATTGGCAAAATTTCACCTGTAGTAAGTCAGTCTGGACACTAGGAATGTACTACAGCCTTGGCGAATATCGAACCTAAAACTAACTTTACCGCGCTGTTGTAGCGGTGTCTCTATGGTTTTCTGTTGTCTAGATATGGATCTGCTCCGTCATATAACATTGTCATGTTTTAACCAGCTTTTGAAGTAAAAGATTTACTGCTAATTAAAACGGCTATGCAGAACTGCTGGCCTGTGAGAGAGCAGCATGAGCTAAATACATCACAGATTGTTCCCATTACTTCCCACTCACGTCCTCAGTCTGTCTGATGGGCTGAACGTGTGTGTGTGTGTGTTTGTGTGTAGAGACACACACAGGTGTAATTAAACTCCAGCAATAACAGTCTGGATGGAGACATGTGGAGACATATACATACATATATATATATATATATACACATACATACATACACACACACACACACACACACTGTATA